CGCATCTCCATCTATTATATATCCACATACTAAATTAAACTGCTAGAGTTTCCCCTCACCAACTACACCATTGATTAACTCTCCTTTTTCCATTGTACTTAACTTGTATATCATTCATTGCAATGGGTCCTCTACCTGCCTTGAACGTCCAACAAAAAAAAATAATGCACTAAGCATTGTAGTTAATTAATGATGAGATTCTATCATTATAAACAAACTAAGTAAAGATTAATAATTCTTAAGAATGTACTATGTTCCCCTATTTTTCACTGCAAACTTGTTAGTTGTTTATTCTTAACCCCAAGAAATTTTCAAAATTAATCATCTATTTCATAATTTTTTTAAAAAATGTTTAAATAAAACTTATAGTAAATGTAATCATCCATGTTTATAGATTTTAACTCAAAATGAATCCGACTTATTTTATAGTAAAAAAATAAAAAAATAATTTTAATATTTAACCACGTGCAATGCATGTCCACAAGAACTAGTTTGTCAAGGGCGCACGAGTCGAAACATGTATCATTGCAGCTGTAAAAGCATCCCCCCCCCCCCCCTGAATATTCAATCACGTATTTGTATTCGCTGTCAACAATAATTAATTACTCAAGTTCAAATATCTTCATGTCCATTGCAATGCTCCCAATTTACCCCTTGCTAATTTATTAAAATTCATGAAAAGAAGATCTCTTTATTATCATCATTTATCATTTACTATACAATTGTAATTTATCTCCAGTGAAAAATAGTAATCAGATATTGTAGGCTTGTAGCTTACAGAATGTATATGGTTATATTTCATATTGGTAATAACAGAATCATAAAATCGAGAAAGTGGTCTGCCATATATATCTTTTCCCGAATGCTCAAAAAGTTGTTTTAGCAGGATATGACTATTTTACTGCAAATGCTACCTTTTGGCTTAAAGAGATACCTAAGAATTTTCATTCTTTGTTGGATTCTCCGTCTTGTAGAGAGTTATTTTGAGAGTGTGAGAGAGAGACCCAAAAACATTGCAAACAACAAAGTTAATGTTAAACTTTATGAATTAATTCATGTAACAACATTAATTTATATATTAAAATATGATAGATAGTATATTTTTATTGCTAAGTGCATGTTTCTTTTGCACATTAATGTGTAGACTATAGAAACTTTAGATTATATAAGTGATTTCGAAAAAAAGTTGAGGATACATAAGTGCAAATTAGTGGAAATTGTAGAGTATTAGGTGCTGCTTAGTATTCTAAAACGTTCAAATTTGCTTGGTAAAGAAGCAACGACTCGTGTATCAAAGCGATGACGATTTCTAGATGGAGTGATGGGATTTATTTTATTTTATTTCTTTAACATTAGTCTCAAATTTATAAATAGAAAAGTGTAGACGAAGGGAAAGAAGTGGGAATGAAAGCAGATCGAGTTTAGGAATTTGAGAAGTAGGAGATTTGAATAAAAGAATTTCAAAACTAAAGTATCATAATTTAGAATTTGGAAACTAATTTTCGATAACTAGAATGTAAGAAATTTGACTGAAGACTTTAATGTGAAACATAAAGATGAGAAGTTAATGATGGTCTATTTCCCAACAAACAATTAATTGAATTCCACGGGTTAATTTTTTCGGTTTTTCTATAGAGTGCCCATGGGCACTCTATAAAAGAGGAGAGAGATAGAGAGAAATGAATGAGGAGGGGGGTCCCCTGATTTGCATTGGGATCCTCTTCTCATTCATTTCTCTCTATCTCTCTCCTCTCTTATAGAGTGCCCATGGGCACTCTATAGAAAAACCGTAATTTTTTTTGTGTGCTTGGATTGGTTTGTAAGTGAGACCGTGCCAATATCACTAACTTCAACTTCGAATCTTTTAGGGGCTATTTGTTTGCTTTATTTTGAGATGGAAAGGGGGTGAAAACCTGCCAAAATGTCAGATTTTGGCAGGTTTTCACCCCAAATCAGCTCTTAGGGGCTGTTTGGT